GGAGGAGAGAGGAAGAGGAGGAGAGGACACAAAAAAAACCCTTCTCACACAGAGTTGTCCCAAACACAAAGTCTCAACACGTCACATACGAGAGCCACCTCGCTCCACGGCCTCAGCTCGTCGGCTATTGGCACAAAGAAACACACACGCACACACACGCACACACACACACACACACACACTTTCACCAACGGAGAGGTGAGGGAGCTAGGCGGTAGCTGCTTTTTTTTTTTTTTTTTCTTTTTTAAACTCTCTCCTCCATTCCATAGAAACAGCACTTTCTTCTTTCTCTTTTCAACATGACAACCAGTGGCCGTGTCCGTGGTTTTTAGAAAAAGCCAACACGTTGAGTCGACCAGTCAAACACAAACAGTGAGAGCCAGAGACACAACTCTGAAATAACATCGACATGAAAATCAAACAATAAAAGAAAAAAACTAAACTTTTGAGTCCAGGAGATACTTGACATTCTGCTGAGAGGGAGGGGGGAGAGGGGGCGAAATGGATTGAAAACAGGGCAGTGGCGTCTTCGTCGGAGTCGCCGGCGTAAAGTCAGAGAAAGTTTTGTTTTCCCCCCATCGCGGCAGCAGCCATTTTAGAGTAAAATACTGTCCTTTTGGATTGGAGCGCTCCAAAGAGTTGCAGAAGTTGTTTGAAGAGAGAGTAACAGACACTTCATTTGGCTTGGAGGATTATTTTAGGTACTCTGAGCATGTTTAAATAGACATAGACTTAACAGCATACATAAAAAACACAAGTCGGTAGTTGTACAAAAAGAAGAACTTGAGGTGTTTTTCCTCTCATTTCATCTTTGAAATCAATTTTGATACAGTCAAATACAATCCAAACTCAGTAATGGTATAAAAACATATCTGAACATCATCATCATGTGTTGAACAAAGTCAATTTGGACGAATGTGACACTTAAGTATGAAAGATATCTCATTATAGGATGTTAGATACTGATACAAAACACAGCTGAGAAATGTTCAAAGGTCCAGATTTAACACTGGCTTCACACAGAAAACATGGCTACATCACTGGAGGCCTTATGTGTATGTGTGTGTGTGCATGTGTGTGTGTGTGTGTGTGTGTGTCTGAAAACAAAATAAAATAAAAGCTTAAGCTCTCCACTGCCACCCAGTTTACACATAAGCCATAAACATGTTTGAGCAACACAAAACAGCTTTATTAGTATGCACATGTCAACATATTGCACCTCTGAACACAGCGTTGTGTTATTGCCCTCCAAGGATGAGGTGCTGGGCACTAGCGTGTTTGTGTGAGAGTGTGTGTGTGTGTATGTGTGTGTGCACGCATTTTTGCGAGGGCATTAGGGTGTGTGAAAGGAGGAGGAAAAACACACACCGCGCACAAACCCTCTTTTCATCCCTCCCATGTCCATCGGGTTAGTCTTAATCACAGAAATACAGAGTCATATGAAAGCAATCAGCATTTTTGTTGAGTGTGGGTGAAAGTGTGTGTGTGTGTGTGTGTGAGTGTGTTTGTGGGAGAGCAAGCGGGAGCGAGGCAGAATGTATGTCATTCAATGCAATCAGTAGGCATTTGTGACAGTCATTAAAAGGTGTGAAATTTGTGTTAGGATGTGTGGGTGAGTGTGAGAGTGTGTGTGTGTGTGTGTGTGTGTCAAACAGAGAGAAACAGGGTGTACTGACGGCCTGGAGGATTTCTCTTGTGTGTGTCTGTGTGTGTGCGTGTGTGTGTCCGTCCGCAGCGAGCAAGTGTACTGCGTGTGCTTTTATAATGAAACGAGAGAGCGTGTGTGTGTGTGTGTGTGTGAGAGAGATACACAGATGCATTTCAACACAAGATTTGGGGGGAAAAGAGGAGCAAATCTGAAATGTGCCACCTCGAGTTAACGTAAAGTGTGATCGAGTAGAAGTGTGTGTGTGTGTGTGTATGTGAGAGAGAGAGAGAGAGAGTATGTGATGGGATCTATCTTTTCCATGGTTTAGAGTTCAACTCCTCCGAAATCCGTTTTGGCTGTCGGTCCATCGCCTCCGCTCAGGAGGCTCAGACCCTCCGTTTAAAGAAAAGGTTTCTCTCCTTCGCCAGCCACTCTTTCATCTGCTCTCTCCATCCTTCCTTCCTCGGGATCCTTCATCTCTCACTCCTGCCGCTCCTCCCCTCCCTCCTGCTTCTTTTTCTTTAGTGTGCAATTCCTTCACAGTCTTTTCTTTCCTCGTCTCCCTCCCTCCCTTCCTCTCTTTCTCTTTTTTTTTTTCAAGTTCTGCATTCAGACGCTGCTTTATTCCTCCTCCCCAGACAGCACTCTCTCTTGCCCTGTTCTTTTTCCTTTATTCTTCTTTTTCATTTCATCCCCTCTCGCGCCCCCCTCCCCTTTCCCCAACATCACCCTCCCCCCCTGCCCCTCACTTCTTTTCACTTCTGCGTTTCAAAAAAAGCGTTTGAAAAAAAAAAACGAAAAAAAAAAAACTTTCATAGATGGTTCTACCTCAACACTTCCACAAACGAGGTCTAAACTTCAAAACTACAGCATAGTACAAGGAGCTATAAAAATATACACAGAGTTCAGAGACCCTAGAGGGGGAGGGGGGGGGGAGGAGGGAGGGAGGGAGGGAGTGAATGAGAGAGGGAAGAGAGGAAGAGAGAAACAACCTCTGTTCACCAGGAAAATTAAAAAAGGGATTAAATTAATATACAACGCAAAGGGAAAAGGAAGGAAACAAGGTCGTTCTAAGTCGTGAAAAACAAAAACAGCAGATAAAAAATGTCTAGCAACAGAAATGTAGTTTAACAGAGTGGGTAAAAATAATAAAACAATAGAAAACAGAAGAAAACATCTAAAAATTATTTACTGGATATTCATATATATAATCTATAAGTGTTGATAGCGATAAAAAATCTCACTTTTTTTGATATTCGCTCACTATTTTGTGTTTTGGTATTTAAGACAAGTCTAAAGAACGCACGCGTACGCACAATCACCCACACACAAAGCTTACACACACGCACAAACTACACCCCACACACGCATATGCAAACTCATATGCAAACTTGCTGTACTGAAGCACACTAACTGCACACACGTCTAATGTGGAGCAGCAGCGCCATAATTATTATCCAAGTCGTATGCGCACTCGCACAGTCACACACACACACACACACACACACACACACACACACAAACACACACACACACACACACGCACACACACACATTATTAAAATATACAAGATTCTGAGTGTCACCGATTGGTCAGACCTCCTCAGGCCTGGGTCGGGTCATGTGACCGCTGCCCGGGCTTGCTGATTGGGTGAGTCCGAGGCCCCTGTTTTCTCAGGAGAAACAAACACAAACAAACTACAATCCTATTGGTGAGTTAGTGGCAGGGGCCGGTCTCTGGTTGGCTGATGGAGCTCTGAGGGGCGGGATGGTGGGATAGGCAGGTATGGCCTCTGGGAAACAGAGTTCTCCAGCGCTGTGGGTTCAGGGTGTAGTTTTTTTTTTTTTTTTTGTTACTGTGTAGTTCTTTTTTTCTTTTTTTAAAACATCACGTGTCCCTACGCCAGGTCCATACTCCTACAAAAAGAGTGTGTGTGCTGCACATACACTCTGGCGTTTTGGGGAACGACTCTATTCAGCACGGGTGGGGCTCGTTTAGCTCTGAGTTAACAAGAAGGGGGGCACTCAGAGGCTCTCGCCCATTCGTGAGGGCCTTGTTAAGAAGGGCTATGTACGGTTACGACATTGCCCTTAACACACACTTAGTGGCCCAGTTGTGTGAGAATGGGGTGGGGTGGTTTATTCAGCTAGAAACACAACTGTGGCCGGGGGTGTGGGCTCACAGGGCAGTGAGTGGGGTCCGAGGGGACAATACTGGTAGTATTGAGGGGTACAGGATGGGAGCTGTGATGGCGAGCTGAGGCTTCATTTGGAGCAGGGAATTTGTTGGTAATGGGTGGAGGGAGGTGGGTGTGTCCAGTCGGCCGGAGCAGCGGCCGTCTCATACTTTGTAGTAGATGTTGGCTGGGCTCTGAGGCGGCATCTCCTGGACGATGTAGACGGGGTGGCCGTAGTCCCCGCTCACCTTCTCGTAGTGCGGGCAGTAGGCCGAGTCCGACGTCCGCAGAGGGATGATGATGTCGCTGGGCTCGGAGCCGTTGTTGTTGGAGCTGGTGATGCCCCCGCCGCCTCCCCGCTTGGGGCTGGTGAGCGAGGACAGCGACAGTGGTGGGTGGTGGGTGTCCGAGTGCTTGGCGTGCCGCCTCCGGTAGCACACGACGCAGATCACAGCGGTCACCAGCAGGAGAAAGGCGGAGCCTCCCGCAGCGCCAGCGATGAGGGCGATATTGGAAGGCTGAAGGGGCCCGTTCTCGCCGCTGCCCTCGCCGCCGAAGCTGTTGGGTCTTTGAGACTGAGTGGAGTTCCCTGCGCCGCCTGAAACAAATCACAAAACAATCTTATATCCACAGTATCACAAGCTGCTTTCAGTGTCTGCCTTTGATTTATGTGATTTATACGTGCATATTAATCATCACAAATATTCAGCCACAGCTGGCTTTCACAATTTGCGTTTTCACAAGCTTTTAAGTAAACATACCAAAACCTCATGGCTCTGCACCACAATAACATGAGTAATGGTGCTGGTTTAACTGTGCTAGTGAAGGCTGCACAGACTTAACCCAGTGGAATGTAATAAGTATGCGGCAAATCTCACAGAAGCTTATGTGGTCTCTTTATTGATGTGATGAAGTGGACAGCAGCGCATATAAAATGAAGAGGAATGTCTGCACACTCAGTGTACGAGTGTGAGAGCACGGTACAGTATATACTCTTGTGGACAGCCTGGCTTAGCCACAGTATGTATCAAGGTAACACACTGTATTTCCCTAACCTTAACAACTGTATTTACTTAGCATTACAGCCAGCCACATGAAGAGAGCCTCCCCGCTCCGCTCCCACCACCAGACCACACACTCCGCCTGCCCGCTGGCCTTCCTGCCTGTCTGCCTGTCTGTCTTTTTATCTGACTGTCTGTTTATCAAACTGTCTGTCACACTATCTGTCTGTTTGTCGGCCGATTGCTCTCTCTGGCTGTTGTGTGTCTGTCTGAAACCTAAGATCTTCACAGCCTTGGAGCTCACAGCTTACTCTGCGGGGGGTCGGGTCAGAACTCAGCAGGTGGATGATGGTCTGGAGGTGTGTACGTGTGTGTTCATCCTCTGTGTGTGTTTGTGTGTGTGTGTATATGTGTGTGTTTATAGAGTCGGGGGGGTGGTAAGGCTCTGGCACCGGACCGTGTGAATGTGTGTGGCGAACTGGTTAAGGCCGGTAATACGAGTCCCTGCTATATACAGCCTTTGGATTGGTCTATCATTATTCTTGGCACACATCCTTTTCTTTTCTCCCTGTCTGTCTCTCTCTTGCATCTCCTTCGCTTCCTCGCCCTCACTCACTCTGTGGTTCTTTCCATCTTCGGGTTATTGTAGCCGTAATGACCTACCTTGCTCTGAGCTCAGCGCCTAGCAACACACACACACACACATATGGACATACACAAACAATGCACGCAAACACACCTCATCCCCCTGCTGCTCGGCCCCCTGTTGCTCTGGACTGACTGGGAGCACAGCGCTAATGTCGGACGTCGATTACACTCCTTTCTCCTCCTCTGCTTTCTTCCTCCCTCCATTAACCCAACATCCCTCATTCTCTATCTCCATTATGACCGCCGCCTTTCACCGGTTCTCTTCATTATATCCTCTTCCTTCACCTCCCCTCCTCCGCCTCCTCCACTTGCTCCCCTATTTTCTACTTCGCAACCCCCCCCCATTCCCTTTTTTATCACACAAGTTCAGACTTTGACGCTTTCTTTTCCCCTTGCTTCGCTCTTTTTTCTTTTCTTTTTTTTTTAATTCATTAGAGAATTTAACCTTGGAGGGAGACGACTGGCAGGTCACAAGTGAAAGACCAGGTCAAGGTGAAAACATTCTCTCATCCTTACTGTCCTTTGCTTTTTCATTTCTTGAATATAATTCACATTTCAGGAGGAAGTAGTTGGTCTTGGGTCTGTTTTATAATGCTAGAGACACACAACATCTATCACACGCCTGTCCCGCCTGGAGGAGGAATCCCTCCTCTGTTGCTCCTCCTGTGGTTCAGGGGAGATTCTCCTTGCCCGACTCGATGGTCTAAGGACAGATTGTGTCGTAATGCTGCACAGAGTATTACACCCCTTGAAGCAAATTTGTGATTTGTGGTACTGGGGCTAAATAAATTCAATTTGACCCCACACTAAACTGTTGCACAAGTCTCTGAAATTCTTATGCGAGAGTGAATCAGTGCGATTTGGTCAACAACCCTCATATGAATACATTGAGGATGTGACAGTGTTACATAATTAGCACCAGTAGCTCTGATGCATCATGGCATTTCATTACTGCTTCCCACATAGGGTGGCATTTGTGTTTTTTTTTTTTTTAATGAATTAATTTGTGTCCTCCAATCCATGTGTAATGGAAACCAATGGCCCCCCATCTGGGCTCGCAGCAGGAACAGGAGCGGCTGCGTACACTCCTGACACCCTTGCTCTTTTCTATTCTGTTTTTTTTGGGGGGCGGTGTTTCGAACAGAGTGACAGCCTGACATGAATACTTCCTCTATGTACATGTTCTTTTTTTTTTTTTTTTTTAATTGCATATACTGAAAACGAGCAGAGAAACTGGTGAACAGCAACACATGCAAAAGAAGCTGCAAACCTGTGTCTGCACATAAAAACATTTTCACTGATTCATTTGCGCTGTTAAACCATTATCTAGTGTCAAGTTGCACATGGTGCCAGGCAGTGTCACAGTAAATAACCAGCGACACTCCACTGGCTGAGATGATTTGGAGTATATTCACATGAGGATTAGAAATTCTGTCATAACTGTTGTGTCAGGAGTCAAAACAATTATTTCAGATGTGTGGTTAAGTGTGTGTTAATATGTCCTTGTCTGAGAGTCAAAAATGTGTAAAATCCCTCATTATGTGTGTGATGTAAATCAGATGTAGTGAGCACAGTGTTATTCGTCTCATTCTAGTAAAAACAATGCTTCACACATACACTTCTCACCTACAGTATGTGAGGTATGGACAAGTGATTGGGCGATGTGTAAATGCCCCAATTCACACATTTGGTAAAGCACAAAAAATTTCACGACCAAAAAACTAAGAAAAAGGAGAGAGAGAGAGAGAGAGAGAGAGAGAGATGAGCACAGCTGAGAGTGAATCGTGTTCTTTCTCCTCCACTGAATGACTTTGAGGTAGAGCATGACTCTAGCCTCTCTCCATTTTCATCTCCTTGTTCTATTCCCCTCTCCTCTTTGCTTTTCAATTATTCTGTTCTTTCTCCTCTTTATGTGCCTCCCACTTCTACCCACTCTGCTCCATCACTCCCCTACGTCGTCTTCTTCTCTCTCCCCTCATCTTTCTGTAATTCCCATCCTTCTTTCTTTCTGTCTGTCTCGACGGAACCACAGAATCCAGGCCGCCCAAACTAATGACAATAATAACTCTCTGAAATGTCGCCGCCGGTCTAGCCCTCTCTCCTGCTGCCCTATCTCCCTCTCTCTTTCTCCTCCTGCCTCTTTCTTCCTCCTTCTCTTTTTCTTGTCCTTCTCCCAAGGTAGCTATTAGCCATCCATTCCCCGCCTGCAGCACTTAGCTCGGAGGGCCGGGCGCAGAGATGAGGAGAGGGATAGAGAGCAGAGAGAGTGAGAGAGAGAGAGAGAGAGAGAGAGATATGGAATTAAATGGAGAGATCCACAGATGTCACCGCTGCACATTCTCCATCTGTCGCCTCCTCCCTCCCCTCTCCCCGCTGCTTTTCCTTTTTATCCACCAGTCTTTGCTTATTCCCTCCATCCATTTTGTGGATGGATCTGCTGTGGATTATCTCCATTTGGTCTCCTGCTTACCTGGGTTTCTGCTGGTGGTGCGTCCCGCAGGCTCCTTCTTCGGAGGCAGTCCATATGGGCCTAAGTGAAGAAAAAATAAGGGTGGAATATGAGCGGAATGGCAGAAATACAGGGAAAGCCTCTACAACAGCCAAGGCTCTCAGAATCAGTCCCAATAAGTGACATTAGCAAAGAGAGAGGCAGCCAGACAGAGAAATCGAGACAGAAGAGGTTTAATAAAGGATTCCCTCCCTTCCACTCCCATTATGGGAGAACACATATTGACTGGGCTTCGATGCGCTGTGTATGAGCACTTTTCCATTTGTTTGAATGGGGAACTAAAGAGAGGCCGTTTGTTGTTTTGGCCAGAGTGAATTTACACAGGGCCATAACGGCTTGTAATCTGTAGTCGCTAAATCAGGCCATCTGTCTAGCAAGCCCTCAGTAATGGTGATGGCATTAAAGAGCGTTTATGTGACACATGCAAACGCACACATGCACACGCACGCACTCACACACAGATGCAGCCATTGTAGAAGTGCCACTCCTCGCAGCTGAAAGAGATGATTCAGAAAATACTAATTTTGTTCACTTCTGAGCCATCTGGCCGACAGTACGCTGCGAGAATGGAGTTGTACGTTGGAGATTCATCGCTGCAGTTTATCCAACACTTTAAAAAGGTCTGTTAGTGGACACTGCAGCGGCAAGGGGGAGCAACACAGACATAACCATGGGATGTGTATGGATGAAACTGCACGATGAACCCACAGAAAACACGCACTGCACCACAAACCGGCGCGAGAGTGTGTGTGTGTGTGTGTGTGTGTGTGTGCAACCATCAACCTATACATACTGACATTTAGAGGAGTGTAAAGCTATTGGCTGGCAACTCCCTCGTGACAGCCCACCAAACAGAAGTTAGGGGTGGTGCTGTCTCGATCAATAGGAACTGCTGTGTGGTCAGCAGGGGCGAGTGGAGGGAGGTTCAGATTGTGTGTGTGTGTGTGTGTGTGTGTGTGTGTGTGTGTTTGTGTGTGTGTGCGTGTGTGTGTGACAGAGACAGAGAGCAAGCAAGATAGATAAAGAATAAAATAAGAGAAGACAGGTCAGTGTATGTGTGTGGGGCAAGGGTGCGAGTGTGTGTACCCTGAGTGTGTGTATGTGCTTGTGTGTGTGTGTGTGTGTGTGTGTGTTCCTCGGAGCGGAGCAGAGCGCCATATCTCATCAGAGATCACCATGAGGCGGCACGCCGCTTATTTAGACGACAAACAACACAGACGTGACCTTTCAGCCACATAGCAGATAAGATGGAAAGACAGAGAGAAAGGAAGAAAATAACAGAGAGGGGGATTGAGAGCTGTAAAGGAGAGATGGCCAGCATGCAAAGTGAAGGGGAGGTGATGAGGACAGGGAAAAAGGGAATTTGAAAAGGAGGCGAGCGATGTTGCTTGGAGGACAGATGAGAAAAGGACGAAAAAATGAGAGAAAAAAACAAACAGGGACAGAGAGAAAAGGGAAAGAAAATGACAAATAAGAAGATGTGTGTGCGTCTTAGAACTTCATAGGGTTGTGTAAAAGTGGCACAGGGTTTGTATATGTGTGTGTGTGTGTGTGTGTGTGTGTGTGTGTGTGTATGTGTGTGTGAGGAAGGAAGCATTCCCATTGCCCATGTGGTGAAAGAGCCAGGGGAAAGAAAGCGTGTGTGTGGTGGCGTTTCTATTGAGCCGAGCTGACTATGCTGATGTTACGGGCTGATAGAGCCACAGCAGCGCCACTTGGCTCTCTGCTGAAGAGCACCTACAACACACAAGGCCAGATAACACAACACAGGCTAAAGAAATAGAAGTAGGCAAGTGTGTGTTTATATGTGTGTGTGTGTGTGTGAGGGGGGTCGTGTGAAGGACAGGTGCCTATTATGTTGTAGGAATGTGCAGGTCAGTGAAAATGCTTAAATGAGCCTTTCTCTGCTGCTTGCTTTTCTTTTTTTTTGAAAAGCCTGCATGTGAGGGTCATTACCTGTGAATATTTTCCAAACAAATTAGAAGTGTGTGCAGCTATGAGTCATTAAAAATCACTGACTGTGTGCTTTAACACTGAATGGAGTCATTTTGTTATCGCGCTGTAGCTGGCAGGTCTGCTGTGTTCGAAGACGTGTGTGTGTGTGTGTGTGTGTGTGTGTGTGTGTGTTCTGGTGTGTACAGACAATCCAGGTTGCATGTTATGCGCTCATGTCCTTGCATGTGTGAGATAACGTTTATGCCTGTAATGTATATACCACACCGGGATGTGAGTGAGCTTCAGTGTGTGTGTGTGTGTGTGTGTGTGTCCAGCATGAGGCAGTAGCAGTTAAAAGGCAGAGTGAGAAGGGAGTCAACAGGGCTCATTAGAGCTGACTGATCCCACACTTCTCTGCTGTTCTCACCACTTAACGAGCCCTAATATGCTCAGCGAGAACATACACACACACACACACTCGAACAAGTGATGTACGTGTGTGTGTGTGTGTGTGTGTGTGTGTGTGGTAACGTGAAAGATGAACATAAGAGAGATGGTTTAAAAGTGGAAGAGGCTGCATGTCAGATAAGGTGCAGTAATGAATGCGAATCGCTCGGCACTGTACAGATGGGAGATGATGTGAGATGCGGTGGACTGGAGCCAATGTGTGTTAGTCACACTGTGTGTTAAGTGAGCGGTTGTGTGCGACGCATGAATAACAATGTGTGTGTGATGAGCGAGTGAGAGAAGAAGAAGAGTCCATGTGTGGCCGACTCCAGCAGTTGTGTGTATGGGAGAGCTCACGTGTGTGTGTGCGTGTGTGTCGGTGAGAGAAAGAAAGGTGAGAGGACTCACTTTGTCCCACTTTCAGGACCACCTTCATGCCTTGCGTGGCACACACTCCGCCTCTCATGCTATCCAGGCCTTGGCGCGTCCCATCTGACGTAGCTGGAGGGATGGAAACACAAAATTACACAATTAGCCAAGTTACAGGGTGGTACACACGTACACACACACATACACACACACACACACGCATGCATTGGAAACCCATCTGTTAAAGCCACACAAACTCACTCTCTCACAATCTATAGCTGACGCCAACAATAGCTTCTATTCATATGGTCAGCCATTCCAGGGAGTCAGCGAGTGACATTTGCAGAGGCAGCGATTTAAAACTCTACCAGAAGCTCTGAAATGTCAAACTATGAGGCGGCAGCACTTTAATAAGTCCTCATTTAGCAGTCCGCTGGAATTCATTAACACCCCCACCGCACGCCGTGGACTCAACCGCTTTCAGTCAACTGCAATTGCTGCTGGGGCTGGAGAAATAGCAGGAGAGGGGGGTAATCTAGAGAGGCAGAGACTGGTTGATGGAAAAAAGAGGGATGGTAATCCAATCAAGGGCGCATATGAAATAAAATGGAGCCCCTGAGACACAAAACACAGTGTGTAGAGAGAATCTGGACCTGATTGGCTGGAATGCAGACTCTGTTGAATGAGTTAAAGCTCTAATTGGTAATACCCCGTTACTAGCTCTGCTTATGTTTTAATTAAGCGAATTAAAGAGAATTCTCTTATTTAATATTGAGGGACTGATGTGTTAATGCAGCCAGTGAGGGATTTAAAATGCATTCTGAAGCCATAAAAGCTTTTTCTTACCCTGAAAAACTAATGCAACAATTCAATTCAAACAGAAGAGACGCAGTGTCAGACTTCAAATCAGCATCCTGACCTGTTCAGGAGTCACACACGTTTCTTTCTAGTGAAGCTGTGAGGGGGCAAAGGAGGTCAAGCAGTGCTGACAAAGTGCACAGACAAGAAGAGAGAGAGAGAGAGAGAGAGAGAGAGAGTGTGTGTGTGCACGGGTCCCTGTAACACTCTGACACTTCTTCTTACATAAAGCATGTCAGTGGATGCATTAAAGATCACTGGTCTGCAGGTCACAGAGGCTGCAGGAGGAAGGAACACGCACAGAGAAGCAGGATGGACGGGTTGGAGGGAGGGAAGAGTGGGTGGGGGAGACTGTAAAAATAAGATGGGATATAAATATAAAGATGCACTGAGACAGTGTGACAGGAGAGAGAGACGGGGGAGACAGGAAGATAGAAAGAGGAGGTGATGAGTGAGGAGACGAAAAAAGGTCTTCAAAGTGAGAATCACACCTTTGCAGCTGATGCACCATCACCGGTCTCCATCATACGCATCCAAATGTTAATGGTGTCCAGCTACGACCTCACTCAACACTTACAACACGACACACTTCTATCTTTGTCTTTAAAGTTTGACCCGGCAGAGGAGCTGATGTGTGGCCACACAGGCTGATAAAAAAATACTGTATACTTATTCTTCCTCCTTCCACCAGCCCACCCAAACACCCCCTGCACACACCACCCATCTGTCCTTATTTTCCCCATTATAGCCCCCAGGGCTAACCCTCACCTCTTCTCCTTAAAAAAAAAAAAAAAATACATATAAGAAATCATTTTCCCCCCGCCACTTCCCTTCAGGCTGTAGATTAGCCTGTCTGAAGCGAAGCAGAGATGGAGGGATGGCGGATGGCTCAGGAAAGAGAGAAAGAGAGAGGGGGGGGGTGTGTGTGAAAAAGAGGAAGCTTTACTTCTAACACCTCCCTCTTTCTTTCCCTCCATCCCTGCAGGATGCAGAGTGTGAAAGCGGGAGGAGGAGAGAAGCAGGCGGAGGTCGAGGCGAACAGCAGTATGGTGGTGAAGCCAGGAGACGGGGATGGATGAAGGGATATATAAAGACCGTTCGAATAAAGTGCTGTCAAGGAGTTTGTACACTCCCCAAGTTTTCCTACTATTTGTTGTGCTAAAAGCTTTTTAAAATTATAGTATTTTTTCTGTCGCTGCGACCTGTGTAATATTTTCTATTGCACTAATGTAGGTGGGCAATCTACTTGAATTTACTTGAATGAAGTCAACAAATAGAGTGCGCCAAATTAAAAACAGCTCTTGCTTCATCAGTGCTTAATTGTGCCATTAAAAAATATATTTTTAAATGATCTTTAACTGCTCAGGTGTCATGTTTAGGTTCAGACTAAATGTGTTGAATGTTATTCAGATGAGCAGAACTGAAGTATTAGATGAAGAGTGGCTTCAGAAAAATGTGTTTAATGAACCTAAACATAAACAGCATATCTGGGTTACTTCTGTCTGATGTCTGAGAAGATTCATTTCATAAGTTTAATAAAATCATTCTAGTTTCCTGATCAGAGTTCACGTGTCTTTATGTAGTTTCACCTGTGGAATAATGTTATAGCACAACAAACTGGACCTGTAGTCACATCACTTTCTACCGAGTCGAGTGAGAAACACACAAAGTGTTACCCACAGTGAAAGTTAATACCTTTTCAGTTTTATTAGTGATGTCATTATTTGTCAGATTTTTTAATTATTCTAAAGCAGAAAATGAATTAGTTTTACAACATTCAGTCTGTTGTACATTTCCATGCAAACAGTGACTCAAGTATAAAATAGCATTTTCTGCTTTCATGAGTCGCTGTTTTTCTCAGCAAGAAAGAGTTTAGTACCGAGTTACGTAATGATTTTACAAACTAATTCAATGCATCTGCGCTACCTCCCATGCATTTTTTAACATCATTAATTATGTGTTCTTTTCCTGAGGCATTATGCACTCGAATACAACGTTATGAAAATGAATGATAAGGTTATTATCTGAAATACATCTTGAAAATATCACAATGGAAAAAAAAAACCCATTCAGAATGACTCTATTTTTTTTTACATTATTTACTTCCTTTACATCATCTTGGAAACATTCCTCTCCGTCTATATAGAAAACCTTAAATAGAAACTTAAGGAGGTGACATAAGAGAGATTACATGGTTTGTAGGACAGGGGGGACAGGATGTGATGGAGACGGGCTGCAGGGGAGAAAGCCGGGCGTAGCAGCTCTGATTGAAGGAATGGAGTAAATAACCTTAACTGGTCGAAAAGAGAAGGGTGGAGGACTATGACTTTTCAGAGAAATAACCACTGACACACGAAGGAGGACAAGAAGGTGACAGGAGACGAGGGAGGTGAGGAAGACGAGGGTGAGGAAAGGGAAAGGAGGAGGAGGAGGAGGAGGAGGTGTGCAGGGAAGCGAGGCAGAGAGACTGATTGCCTGTGACAAGCTGTTGGTGATATGATGGGGACAGGAGACTATGTGAGACGATAGAGATGACCCAGAGCCCAGTGGACACAGAGAGGAAGAGGAGGAGGAGGAGGGAGGGAGGGAGGGAGGGAGGGAGGAGGGCCACAAGATTCATAGACAGAGGGAGGGGAAAAGTGGAAAACAGAAGATAAGTTAAAAACAGAAAGTAAGGAAAGAGTTTAAATGACATGATAGATAGCAGAGAGGTAAAAGACTCTAATGTCTCCATTATGGAAAAGTGGAGCAGTAATGGATACAAAGAAGAGGGAGACACAAAGAGACGGAGCCCGAGAGCCAAATTGAAGCAGGAGAGCCTCCACAAATGTGATTTTGCAAATGCAAGCTATTTTTTTTCATAATCAACAGGTCACAAATATCACAAAGGCAATTTTTGTTAAAACACTGAACTGTATCACGACAAATCCTCTTAAAACCAATAGACATGTTAGAGGTGCCACTATTTCTGTGAATCTCAATTTCACAGGAACAAAGTGAACAAAGAGATCACAGCTGCTTTGTCCTTGGATTGAAAAAATATTCCCCCTCCCAATCTTGGTAGCTAAACACCAAAAAACGCTGCACCTCCAGTACGAGGTGGGGGTGGCGGATGGTGGGGGTGGCGATATCACCAGATCAAGGTAGAAATAATCACCGAACATCTGTGAAATCCTGATGCGAGACGGAGATGAGAGCGGGGGAAAAGATGGGGAGATGTAGGAGCTGACGTGCCTCAAATCTTTCCCACCTCACTTAGAGAGGAAAGAGAGAGGGAAGAAAAAAAAAAGAAAAGAGAGAGTGTGGAGGAGGAGTGTATAGAGCAATTTGGGATGAGATAAGAGGAGAAAGGAGGAAGAGCAATGAGAGAGAAAGATGGAGACACGGGAGGGAGAGGAGGGATGAGTAATTGATACAATGATCAGCAGTGATGGGGGGGATGTGAAGCGCCAGAGGACAGAGGAGAGGAAGGGCGTCGCTCTGCCACCCTCATTCGACAGGAAGACAGGAGGGAGCGGCGGAGGAAGTGGAAAAACTTAATTAATGAAATAATACAGCAGTCAACCTCAATCAGGCTGCATAGAGCTGGGACTGTGCACACAAGGAGGCAGGCGGCGGCGGTGGGGGTTGGGGGTTGGGGGGGGGGTGTATCTAGTCCATAGAAAAGATCACAGAGTGGATGAGAGTCGTTCTCTGTGTCTCTCTCGTTATCACCAAGGTCAGTGCTGGGCCAAGCCTCCTCTCTGCCTCCACTGTCACTGCTGCTGAAGTTCGCTCACCGTTATGTAAAAGTGGTAAACGCGGACGTGACTTCACTGTTATGACACATTCGCGTCCATCCATTCATCCACCTCGGCCCCACATCAGACAAGCGCTCAGCTCCATATACTGACTGTCTATCTCTGCACCAGACTATACAAAGTTATTTCATTTGCATTAAGATGCAGCCTGGACCTCACTGTTTGCCCTCTCACTCTATTCAACCCCCGCTCCCCCCCACCCCCCCTCCTGAGGTGTGTTTTTCAGCCCTGGTTATATATTCCACACATGCTGAGTGACGGCCGGCCTCCCGCAGCAAAACACTCGCTCCTGTGAGTGATGTGAATTTGTGTACATGCTGATGTTGTTATTTCTATCACACACACACACACACTTCCGTCTGGTTTGGGACACGTCTCACATTTTCACTCTGCTCAACAGTCAGGAGAAGCGACGTTTTATTCTTTTTTTGGTTGAGATGTAAAGTTGCAGAGGTACATTGCATATGAATCTTA